CTCGTGAATCTTACTCTGACAGCCTATCCGAACTTTGCTTTCGATCGATATCTACACGAATACGCAATTTAATGAATGTCGAGATTCGAATTACTTGATACGATTCATATCAATAGAAACTAAATAAAACTCCAATTCAACTTTCCAACTTCAGTAGTATCGGTACTACCCTCACAGTACCGATAATTCTATGCTAGGGTATTGATACCCTACCTCGGTATCGATACCAAAATAAGCTTCGATGTTCCCTGGTATCGATACCCTCCACATAGGTGTCGATACTCCTTCCTTATGGTATCAATATTGTCATGCAGGTATCGATACTCCATGCATAAACTCCTTATAAATTACCTTGTAGTATCGGTACTCACCCAACAGGTACCGATACTACTCACCCAGAAAACACTTCCTAGCCCAAAAATTTCCAACACTTTACCCCAAATTCTACTTATTTAGCTCTCTTCATGCTTTTAAACTCAACTAGCCATACTTAAACCATCATATATCCCTATAACCCCTCATCATCTTTAATAATTCACTTTAACTCTTGAATTTAAGAATTCTACCAACTTTCCAACATGTTCTAATTTCAATTCTATCACTTCATATCTCTTAATTCAACTAATGGAAAGTCAAATTTAGCTTTAAATTCTACTTATTAACTCTTTTCCAAAATTTCACTTATAAACCCTTAATCTTTAATATTTCCTAACTCCTTCATCTTTGATTTTAAAACCACTTAAGTTTTACTTAAGCTTAATTAATACTCAAAGAACAAAACCCAACTTAAAAACCAAGAAATAACCAACTAAATCTTAACTCACCTTTGTAGCAAGAGCAAACGGGAAGAAGAATAAAGCAAGAAAAATAAGTTTCTAGACATATCTCCTAAATCACACGTGTTTCACTCTTAATAAAGGAAACAAAAATATCTTTTAAGCTGAAAAGACCAAATTACCCCTTTAATTCATCCATCTTTGCTATTTAATCCAATACAAAACTATTCTTATTTAAGTCCCTAAACTTTTTTATTTTTCTTAAATTGGTCACCAAATTTCAAAAACTTTCATTTTAGTCAGTAGCCTGGTTTTTGGGATGTTACAAAGATTCAACACAAAATGAGTAGAGTCCTCGAATTGTCCTTTACTGGTGCCCCCTTAGGCCTGTCAGACCCTCTATCCTCACCTATTATAGGCTTAAACGGGTTGAGTTCAATTCGAGATGATGCATTTCCCCATATCCATGCGAGGAAGCTCAATATTTCGCTCGTAAAAATAAGGCATATGCACCCCAGAGGTTACTTGCTAAAGCCCATGCGGAGAAAAATAATTTTTCTCTCGTAAGCGTATCGTTCACCCTACCTAATGGGACAGAGCACAGTTAGAAGGCTCTAAATATTCAGATGGTCATAGCATGTGTGGGGGGAACTCACAATCCTTTGCCTCGATCCAAAAAAAATAGACTAAATAAAGTTGAGAAATCTAAAACACGTAAATCACACAATAGTACAACTAATAAATAAAAGATGTATGATGTGATGCAAAAAACATGAGGATCAAAATTTAAATATCATTCAAATTCACCGTTTGCAACTAAAAAGGTGAGATATAATCGATTACGGACTGACTCTCTAATGTCTCCACTGGATTCGCCAAGCTGTCGGAACAGTCCTTAAGCTTTTGTGACCATGACGAGGAACGATCCTACTTAATTAAAAATATTGGGTTTTAAACATAAATAAATAAATTTTGGAGGCGCCGTCGATCTTTGGGTTAAGTAGGTCGAATACCTTAAAAAATATCTTTTAAAATAATTTTAAAAGATAAAAAATGATCAGCTTTTAACCAGAAATTCGTTTTGAAAAGAGTTCGAGAGTCGATTACACGTGGGGAAGGATTAGCACCCCCACAACGCCCAATATCGGTACCTAACCGATTATATGTCATCTGAATATTGAAATTGGAAATTTTGAATATACATTTAAATTAAGATCATTTTTTATATAAATTAAAAGGGGTATTATTTTGTACGAATAATTCTCGAAAATACCTTCCTTGTCAGTTAAGGGGCATTTCCATGGATTCTCCATACGAGATAATATTGTCGTAATTTTTAATGAAATACATACATTAAATAAATATATTTAAAAAATCATTGAGATATAAAATATATATGTATATTGTTTTGTACGAACAATCTCGGAAATGAACTCCTTGTTTATGCTTCCATAAATTCCTCGTACAACATATTATCCCAGTACAATATGCATTTACTGTAAAGAGAAACCAACTAGGGCTTAAACAAAACACCATAAAATACAGGAATCTTAAATGCAATTAATAGGAAATTAATCGAATGTGTTAATGAAAAATCAGAGTGAAAAAATAGTAATTTTAAGGATTAGACAGTAAAACCAACAAAGATCATGGCCATAAATAAAAATATCACACAAACTAGGCACTGGAATCGTAATAAACCATCATCAACACTCAGGACTAAAATAGAAAGCATTAAAATTTAAGGATTGAATCAAACATTTACCAAAAACTTGTATAAATATGGGCAGTGACTAAAATAAAGACAGAGTGAAACTTGAGATACAAATTAAAACAAGTAAAAATACATTGCAGTGACCAAAATATGATTTTACAATATATGAGGGCTACGAGAATAATTCTCCCATTTGCCCAAAATGCATAACCCCCTTCCCTAGAACGACGTCATTTTGGACTGGGTATATAAACCCGACCTATGCCCAAAAATGGCAAAACTTTCTCATTTCTTCAAACCCACTCTCTCTTCAAAAGGAGAAAGAGAGAGTTTCTTTGCCCTTTCTCCTCTCTACTTCTCGACAGGGATGAGCCCCGAGCTCTGGCCATCGCTAGCAGACACCATCGACAGCCATACACGGTGGTCGTCATATGTACCAAAGCCCCTAAAAGGACCCTCTCCTCTTTCTAAACCTAAATTCGAACCCCGACAAGCCTAAAGGTTTGTCAATAGGCCTAGATCTAGAGATTTACCTTCGGGGAAAACAATTCTCCGACGACTTTTGGCTTCTCATGAGCGACGAAGTATGATAAGCTTCTCCAATCTTTTATCCCTTTCTAATCTTTTTTGTGTTATGGCTACCTCCTTTTTTTTAGTTTTCGAAAAGTTTTTTTCTCCCTCTTTAGGTTATCGTTTATGTTCGAATATATGTAGATCTCTTTTTTCTTGTTTCTTCTTGTGGAAAGCAACTTTCTGATTTGCTTTCTTTTTCTTTTTTTCTTTTTTTTATTTTTTTTCTTTTGGCTTTCGAACTTTGACTGAGGAGAGTGATTCGACAGGGACAAAGCCCTGAATCAGGCTGCTATGATGCATGCGAAGGACGGGGTAAACACTTTTACCCAGAGACTCTTTTCGTCTTCCTCGAGGCAACTGACGATGAATCCGGTTGTGGTGATGATAGCAGATACATTTGGGGAATCGAGAGCGCATGTATCTCAGACGTGGGGAAGATCAACGGTCGAGCTTCAGCGACGACGGTAGTTGCTAGGTGCATTAGGGTAAACCCTAATATCTTTGACATCTGGGTCATTGGATCTAAATTCATATCCAATGATTGGTATTCAGCTCTGCATGGGTTAAGGGTCAACCCTAATCTACTTTGATTTGGTCCATCAGATCTTGTTCAATCCGACGGTTGTAATTTGGGGCGACGCTGGAGGCTTGTTGTAACTAAGGTTCCTAAACCCTAAAGTCTTAAGGTACTATAGGTTCGGGCTTGCTTTAGTTGGGCCACTTCGGGTTTAGGTCTGTAACAGAAAATAAAATGATTTAATGTTATATATATATATATATATATTTATTTAACATATATTAATAATACGTATAATTAATAATAATAATAATATGACCATATATAAATAATTATATATATATATCCTAAACGAAGCTCGATTGAACCCGGACAAAATCAGGATCTACAATAGTATTTAATCATTTTTCCAACAACTTGCTCAATCAATCTGAACCAAACATCAAATTCTTTATTTATGCTCCAAAGGTTGAAGTAAGTCATCGGCTACTGTATTACTATTGATTCCTAAACGCACGCATGTTTTATAAATATAATTACTTGAATCCATATCCTACAGGCGGATTTTCAACTTGTAAGTGTTAGGAGTATTGTTCTTAACTTGAGTTGGGTGGCTCGAGACAAAGCCCTTAACGTGGCCTGAATTTGATTTGACTGGCTGAATTGATGTGTTTTTCCTCTTTCAAATCAGCGTGTATTTTGTTGTTTAATTTCCACACACTAGTTATACATTCTAACGGAAGCATTAATTGAAAAAGTGTCATTATTTCATGAAGAAAAAGGCTCTTTACTTTAGCCATTCAAATAGAATAACTAAAAGAAAGAAAGAAGTAAATTTTGTTGTGAAATCAAACAAGAAGGCGCAAGTTGAGGCTTGATGGGTGTTTGAGACCAACATTGGGCTTGTCATTTAGCTTTGGGGATTAGTGCAAAAGTTGGTAAAGGCCTATCCCCCAAGTCATATATATCATATAAATATGAGTTATCTGCCCACAAAGTCCAACCATCTAGAACTCCATGAACTAGTCAATTGGTAATTTTGTAGCACATGTTTGTTGTTACGTATAAATATTATAATTCAGAAAGGAAAAAAATATATTATTTACCAATTCAATCTGAACAACTTAAACAATATATTGACCTCCACATCTTGTTGTATAGCTGAATCTTGTTCACACCCCCTTGAACTAAAAAATGATGGAATTCAGACAATTCTGGGTCACCATGACATATATATAAGCCATCCACTTCACCTAAGAAACAAAAGCACAGATAAACAAACTCCCCCCCCCCCCCAAAATGTGATTGAGGAATCGCTTGGTATTAAAAGTCGGCTGCTGGTCAATAAACTCTACCTCCCATTGTTCTGTAGCCCCAGCTGCCTCTTTGGCTCTTTTCTTCCTCGTTCCCAGTTATATATATATATATTTTAAAGTCCTTCAGTCTGCTACACAATCATCGTGAAGTAAAACATGGAGGTGATGCTACCAAGTTCTCCGGTTATGGAATTTGATTTCAACAGTGCTCGGTCATCTCCTGTGTCGACTGCTCCTTCTACGCCTCGACGAATGGGAGATTGTTTCTTTAGTGCCCCGACGAGTCCCGCACGGTTGTTCGAGTTTTATCGCGAATTCGATCTCTACGATATGGAAAGCAGCATGAGAAGCAGTCGTTTGGCGATTCCTTTTGATTGGGATGAAAAAACAGGTACAAACAAGTCACCGAGATCGACAATGACCGGTGTTGCTGCGGATGAAGGAGATGATTTTGCTTTTGATTTTAGTGTGAACTTGGAGAACACGTCTCGATCAGCTGAAGAACTCTTCGATGGAGGAAAAATTAAGCCATTGAAGCCTCCATCTCGGTTAAAGGTCGATGTGTCGTCCCCGAAACCTCCTAAATCTTCATTTTCTCAAGGAAAAAAGATCATCCATGAAGCTTTTTCACCAAGAAAGAAAAAGGACGATCGCGACCCTTTGCCAACAGCCATCGGAACCAGTCGAAACAATCGAGAGCACGGAAGAGGTAGAGAAAGGGTTCAAGATTTCACATTAAGGAATTCGAGCCGAAGAGCAACAAGATCGCTTTCTCCTTACAGAGTCTCGGACAACCGATGGGAAGACGATGAAGAAGAAGAAGAGAGAAAACAGCAACGTGAACCCACCACCACCAAGCAATCATCATCATCATTGAATTCAAAGCCATCGTTTTCTTCAACTTCCTCAAAGGGGTGTTCAAGAAAATGGAGATTAAGAGATTTGCTGTTGTTTCGAAGCGCATCCGAGGGACGTGCAAGCGATAAGGATCCATTAAGGAAGTATTCATCAAGCTTTGTGAAGAAACCTGAAGAGAAGAAGAATTCAGGTGGGTCTAGAAGAAAAGTATCGGCTCACGAGCTACATTACACAACGAACAAAGCAATATCTGAGAACATGAAGAAGAAAACTTTCTTGCCATACAAACATGGTATTTTGGGAAGATTAGCCTTCAACTCCAATGGATTTGGAAAATAATCAGTCAATCATCTCATGATTTTAAGTTTTTTTCATTTTTGTTGTTGTAAAAATTATCTGTTTTGGTGTTCTTGCACAAGTGTATAGTTCATACGAGGAACCGTAAGCATGAGTTGTCTGAAATAACTGGAAATGGAATTTTCTTGTATTATATCTTATATTATATTTTAATTTTTTTAACTGAAAATGGTAAATTAATCGATGTTGACTTCAAAAAGAGTACAATAATTATTTTATTAACAACTTCATTCATTGATCTTTAATTATCGATGTAATAATTATAAAAAAATAAGTTAATTTTAAATTAAATTTAAAATATCACTAATTGTTGGAGGGTTCATCTTTTAATATATTTTTTTCATTTTTAGTAAAAGAATATTTTTCTAATTTGTATATATAAAAAATGATTAAGAGTTAAATTTATAAAACCTGTAATATAAGTGATTAAATTTTTTTTTTATAATTTTCATGTCAACAAATGAACAGCTAATAGAATTTTTAACTGATGGACTATTTTGTTCTTTTCAAAATATAAACGGATTAATTTATTATTTTAAAGATAAGAACCCATAATATAATGTAAAATATATTGCACAGACTGTTATAGTAGTTTTACCCAAATTATGAATATATCTTATTTTAATTTAAAGTTATTTTTTTAAAATTACACTTATGGTTAAGATTTTGAAGGGACTACTATAGTAGTTTTACCCAAATTATCCAAAATGATTTCGTAAATGGTCTTGAAATGATGACTAATCTCAACTTCTAAGCCTATGAAATTCCAAATGATAAAATATTGGAAATCCTAAATCTGTAGGATCTTCATCTTCTAGTTTATGATATTTGAAGTAGAAAATAGAGGTTGATTCTAGAACGCATATTTTAAATTGAAATCAATTAAGCCTGCTCCATCCACTTCATAAAATATTTTATTTTTCCTTTCGACTAAATAAATAATAGTCGGCTAAGATGATTGTGAAAATGTCAAGTTCTAGAAGTGGGGAGCCATTATCTGCAATGAATCCATGATGCCAATTCACTAATCCTGATTATGATAAAAAAAACTTATTAATATTTTTTGGCCCTCCCAGTTTTAAAGTTTGGTTTTAACTAATCCGAATTGACTCACGTTGCATATCTAACTTTGGTAGGTGAGTCTCTCGATAGATATTTTCTACATATATAAATATTCAAACTTGATACATTATTTAAGTGATATCAAACTGCTTACCACTTGAATATGATAACTTATTAATAATTCTTTTAACTTCTACAACAATATAGTCGAATTATCGGTTTAATATTTGTATAATATTTTATTAATTGTCGTTTTATTATTATTATAATCATCATTTTATTCTATCCATGATTTCTATTTAAAAATAATGCTATTCAATCAAAAAGTGTAACGTGTTATAAATTTTAAAATTTATATTAAAAAGTCTGTTTAAATTAAAAAAAATACGTTCTGTAATAAGATGATATCCCTATCTTTAATATTATTAGGTGATTTCAACTTCCTAAACAGTAAAATTTGATAAGATACTAAAACATACAATATAATACTAATAAGGTCAAACTAATAAAATTTATAAAAATACTAACCTAATAATTTATGGGTAAAGTACACAAATGGTCCTCCGATTATAGGACGATACTTTGTTGAATCTCTCGGCTATAAAATTCTATTTTGTTGAGTCCTCTTACTAGTAAAAGTTATAAAATAGTCATTTGACTATTCATATATATCAAACTCATCATTTTTCATTAAAAAATTGGTAGTCGTCTGAACTAGACATTAATCAGTTGACTAAGATATGATAAAATTATATTTTAATAATATCTATCGGCACCACTGTTGCTTTCAAGCACTGACTCGACGATATAATCTTTCAAGTACTGGCTTGACAATATAATGTAAACGAAGAATCGATCTATAAAATACAACTCAAACTATTTTGAAATTAGATTTTATCATATCCCAATTAACATGATAATGTTCAGCTCAGATGACCGTTAATTTTTTAACGGAAAATGATGACTTTGGAATATATGAATAGTCGAGTGATAATTTTGTAACATTTAATAGTCGGGTGACTCAATAAAGTAATATTATATAGCCAATAGACTATTTTATTATTTTTAATAATCGAGAAATTTAACAAAATATTATCTTAGAATTAGATACCATTTATATACTTCACCCATAATATATCCATAGTACAAGAACAAAAAAGGTATTAAGCTTTTTTTAGGGAAAAAAAGTGTATCTACGCATGGCTAATCCTCTGCCTCACCGAAATAGACTAAATAATTTATAGGGAGAAAATTGCCCACGAGTTCCTCGCTTAGTAAAACACTTGGTGGCAATGTACAATCGATTGTTTAACGATAGATCTTATGAAGAGGTTAACGTTTGAACGAGTCGAGTTAAATAAAAAGTTTTAAGTTATTTGAGTTGATGAGTCTTATTTTATAATAGATCTTGATTTAAATTTTTTCGAATCAAATCGAGTCGAGTTTTCAAATTTCAATTTAAATTTAAGGGTAAAGTATAGTAATGGTCACTGAACTTTTTTAAAGCTTTCATTTAGGTCCCCAACTTTTAAAACTTGCAATTCAGTCCTCTAACATTTAGTCCGTTTGTAATATGGTCATCATCGTTACACTGTCGTTAGTACGTTTGCAATATGGTCACTGAACTTTTCAGGCGCTTGCATTTAGGTCCCCCAACTTTTAAAAATTATAACACAGTTCTTAATTTCATTATAAACCCCAAATTCATTTTCGATCTCAAATTTCCTTTTTCGCTTTTCTCTTCTCATTTCTAGCGTAATTTTTCAGTCGGGGATGCATGGGAAATTCTAATCTAACTTTGAATTATGTGGAGGTATTGACTTGAATAAGGGTCCATTGAGAGAATACTCGGCCAAGGGACTATCGGGACAATAAACGATTCAAGGTGTAATGTTAGATACAGGTAATCTCAGGTGAAGTATAGATGTTCGATGAAATACTTATGAGAAAAAATGGGGTTAGAAATGCAGAGTTGACAAATACTATTAAGATGAACTAAGTATCATTGTTGAAAGTCACCAACAAAGCTGGAATTATTTTGTATAAATGGCATATAATAATTTCTTCGTTTAATCCTTATGGTTAAAGATTTTCCAACAGATGATCAAATATAATGAAATCTCAAACAGAACATTCACCTCTCAATCTCTTTTGCAACTTGAAAGGCATCATGACAGGGTCAAGTAGCTGCTCTAAATATACTACCCTGTCATGATGTCTTTCGAGTTGCGTCAATGCATAATTGTCTTCTAAAGCTATAATTCAATAAAATTCAACTGTAAAATTTCCAAAACATGTAAAAAAATCCAATTCGTTCACGATATATCAGTCCCATAATCAACATGAACTTATTAAAAAGAATACGAGCTCACAGGACGCCGAAAACCCATAGGTCGGATCAATACAATTCCCATTAAACTAGTACCAATAGTCTCTAGGATTGAGCCTGGCGATTTCACTATGTCGATACTCACAATCAATTCCCTGATATAAAGAAAAACCAAACAAGAAGAAAAAAAAATTAGCCTAAGACCATCTTTCACTTCTATTCTGATGGACATAATATCTTTCATAAGGAGTACTAAAAGTTTTGATTAAGAAGAATGAAAGAAAATTATATGGTTTTGGTTCAAAACTAACACTGAATTTCAGATCATTGACATGCAGTTCCAGAACATAAAAATTTCAATAAAAAACACACAATGAGAGCTGAAAATAGGAAAGTGCGAAAGAGAAAAAACTTACTTTCGGATAGCCCAAAAGAGAAAATAAATGCATTCTTGCAAGTGAGGGGAGAGGCTAAGAAATAAACGTAATCAGTGTTGCGTTCCAACAATTCTTCCTCCATTTTTTCTTTGTAAATAAAAAAGCTGAAAGACATAGCACTGTTTGATTTACAATTTTACATGGCGGAAAATTGAAGAAAAAAAACAAACGAGAGTACATGTGAGCGAAAGAGACTGAGAGGTGAATGCGCTGTTTAGGATTTCATTATATTTGATCATCTATTGGAAAATCTTTAACCGTAAGGATCAAACGAAGAAATTATTATATGCCATTTATACAAAATAATTCTAGCTTTGTTGGTGACTTTGATCAATGATACTTAGTTCATCTCAGTAGTATTTGTCAACTCTTAATTTCTAACCCCATTTTTTTCTCACAAGCTGTGACATCCTCAATATCGGGTTAGTGACTAGATTGTAAAATTTCAGAAATGGTTGATTAAAGTAGGATAATTGAATAGTTCAATGACTTATTAGAAATATTTTATGAAGGTTGTTTAGTAATTATTGAATGAATTAAAGGGTAAAATGGTCATTTGACAAGGAAGATTTTTATTTTCATTTATAAGATAAGAGAATCACGTGGAAAATGAGAGATTTCTCCAGAGCTTTGTTCTTCTCCAGCCGTGAGCTTCAATAACAAAGGTGAGTTTCTTGATTAGTTGATTATTTGCTAAATTAAGGGTTGCTTTCTGATCATTAGATGATAACTAAGCTTAAGGAAAGCTTAAGTTATCTTAAAATCAAAAGGTGATAGAGTTAGGGAGATTAAAGCTTAGGAGTTCTTGAATGAAATCTTGAAATAGAGTTCATAATTAGAATTGGAATTTGAATTTGACTTGTCATCAATCTAATTAAGAGATATGAAGTGATATAATTAGATTTATAACAAGTGGAAAAATTGGCATGATTCTTGAAGTCCATGTAGAGGATAGGATATTGAGATTTAAGATGTGATAAATGAGTAGAAATGAGTTTAAGTATGCATATAAGAGTTAAGAATATGATAGGGGATGAAATATGAAGTGTTTAAGTAAAATTGGAGTGATTTTCGGACTTAAATATGAATTATGGGCCAGTGTGTATCGGTACACATTCAACATGTACCGATACACATGAAGTATATCGATACATCCCTTAAAATGAAAACATCGAATTTAATTTGTGAACCGATACACAGGT